AATCGTCGTTTTGAGGGTGGGGCGCCATGTTGTTGTGTCGAATGTATGTACCTACCAGTACGACATTACAGACATCTTGTAACTCTTTCTCGATTTTTACTTTGTATTTCGTCGCGATTTCCTTTTTTCTCTCGTTAGTGTCAGACTTTCCTTCTATACTAGACACGACTCGCCACGAAGATCGCCTGGCTCCGACAACGTTCTTGTACGCAACCGACAAAAGGTTTCTTTCCTCAGGAGTCAAGCTATGACCCGTTTTCGTAATTTCCTTCATTGCCTCGGCCATATCGTCGTATCTTTCGGCCTGTTCGGCGACCTTAGCCTTCGCCACAAGCTTCTCGATGTTGCTCATTTCCATCGCTGTTAAACTAAACTTAAAATTAACGGAAGAAAGAAAAAATCTTTTCTAAAATCCTTCCAAAGTTTGCGGAAAGACAGAGGAGGACTCGAAATTATATTCGCACTGCACGCGTGATGGTCCCTGAGAAACATGAGAGGGGGGGTGCCGAATAATGAGCATGATGCCTGCATTACGTCATAAATTTTACATTCTTTTATAATATATCATTAATATTTATCATTAAAATATTTTATAATAAAATTGTTCAAATATCTGCAATTTACATCTAGACAATGCCGTTCAAGATAAAAGCAATTAAATTGAATTCCAACGAATTCAAAAACCAGGAAAAGCGAGCTAAATATACCGAATATTGTGGCTAGCAGCAAACCAAAGGTCGCTGGTCCGCGGTCAGGCAAACCTTTCGGTTTGCGCGGTGTAGACATACTCAGAGACAACATCACAAACATGTACCGAATATTATTTTTTTATAAAGACCATATGTAGCATGGAGCACTTGAACAAAACTCTCAAGATCAGAGTTATGAAATTTGATTGAGCAATATGCCCAAATTACAGACAGGCAACAGGGGACGAGGTTGACAACAGACAGACAAACAGACAGATGGGCCAATGGACGAGTTAATAGACTTGTTTTTTTTTTTGTTTTACACGTTTTGTTTGTTTGTTCCTGTCTGTCTGTTTGTTTGGCCTGTGTGCCGTAACATATATGCCACGAGTCTATTAAGGGGAGAGTTACTGTGATATTGCTTTTGTCTGTTTATTTTTGTAGTTTAATTGACGATTCCCCTTATTACGTTTTCGTAGCGCTTCGCAATTGTGGTTATAGTGATCAGATCATATTTTTTGCCCTGCCCCGTGCAAGAACTTTAAAAAAAAGCTAAGGTCAAGTCATGGGGTCAAGTGCGCGATAGCCAACAGCAAAATATTCGCGAAAACATTCAACTTTATCAGTGATAAGTGTTTTTTTATTGCTTCTGTCATATGAATTCTCCAGTTAGAATTCTCCAGTTAGATCATATTTGAGATTTCCATCATTTATACTCTGCCTTTACCCATATGCAGGTACATATTGGGTTTAATATGGTTTCATCTACTTGTTCTTTTTCATGACATATCTACCGTCAGTTCTCTCCTAAAATCCCACTATAGCTGCCGTCAAACCACTCCAGTTGCATTAATTAATAGAGGTCAGGCATGATTTATCGTTGGCGAGCTACCTTAACTTGTTGGTACATATTAGGGTTTATTAGGGCTTTCTGACCGATTCTCTTTTCATACCACAATCTACCCTAATCTATCGTCCGTTGTCTCCTGATATCCCCAAAAACAGCACAGTAGGTACATATTAGGTTTATTATGGGTTTCTGTCCAATTTTCTTTTCATACACCAATCTACCCTAATCTATCATACGTTGTCTCTTGATATCCCACCAAAACAACAACAAAGTAGGTACATATTAGGTTTATTTGGGATTTCTGTCCGATTTTCGTTTCATACCCCAATCTACCCTAGTCTACCGTTAGTTATCTCCATACATCCCCCAAAAAACAACATGGCGACGAAAAAAATTGTACAATATGTAGCGATAAGAAAAGACTTATCTTCGTCTTTAAACTGGCCTGCCGGTGCTATCATTGCTCAGGCATGTCATGCATGTACTGCTGTTATTGTTTCGTATAGAGATGACCCGTATTCCGTCGAATACACGCGAGAATTGGACCGCATGCATAAAGTTGTAGTTGAGGTATTTTTTTTGTATGTTGTGTGGAATTTGTTTTGTTTTTGTACTGTTCTGAGAGGAACTTTATGTATCAGGCAAATTACAGAAAAGGTGATAATGAAAAAAATAAAAACTCAGATAATGAAAAAAATTATCTGAGCGTTAACACTGACCGCAAATTGGGCTATTCCAATATTATCTGCACTGGAATCTTTGCTGTGCGCGGGGAAGTTCTTCTACGCGCAATTTTGATGCTTTCTATATATTTACAATTAAATTTTCGAAATCTTCCCCGTGCAATTTCCAAACTTTCCAGTCAGCCCCCTCCCCCCTGTTGAGGAACCCCTTCCTCATGTCGGGACTCCCCTGGAATTCCCGCAATTTTCATGTAAAATCTACCCCTTCTCCATGGAATTTCCATTTAAAATTTGGCCCTGTCCATGGAATTTGCATGTGTAAATTACCCCTCCCTATGGGAATTCCATCATGGGACATTTACTCCCAGAAATTTCCCTCTAACATATGTCCTCCCATCACCCATGGAATTTCCATCCCATGAAATTTACCCCTCCCCAAATCCATGTGAGAATTACTCCTCCCCTTGGAGGAGTTGAATTCCCCTTGAATTACTCCTCCCACAAGCATTTTTGCCTTTATCTCAGGTGGCAAGTGAAGAAGCATTAACAAAGTTATCAGAGAAACTGGCAGAAAATAAGATGGATTATAAATTATGGATAGAACAGCCCGAAAACTATCCCACATGCCTCGCAACCAAACCTTACCCGAGAGATGAAATATCGAAATTCTTTAAGAAATTTAAATTATACCAATAGGTGAGTACTAGCAGTCACTTGTATCAGGGCTCGAAGTAGATCATATGGCCTGCCAGTCTAAAATTTTTTTTGCAAGTAAAATAAATTTTAGCCTGATATTTTTATTCATTGAACTGCCAAAATGGCAATGTCTCATAATTGAGTCATATTGTAAAAATAGGCACTCAGAGAGTGTGTAAGGATTTGCAATTTTGTTGTCAATTTTATAATGCAAGAAAGATTGAAAAATATCAGTTCATAATGCAAGAACGATGAAAAAATATTGCCCAAAATGTAGTATAACAAAACACAACATCATGCATGACAAATCTTTTCTTCGAATGTCAACTCTGCTTAATTACTGTTATATTCAAAGTTAATCTACTACAACTTTTAAATGGCTTTATCACTGCCTCAAAGATAAAAGAAGAACTGAATTTGTAGAAATGTTGAAGATACTTTATAATTAACGTTTGGATAAGAAAACAACATAATTATTTCGATGTTTTCGCATTCCGCAACAGGCAACGTTTCTAATTCATTTCCAATGAATATGAATGAAAAATGGAACAATACAGTTTTTATAGTGGAAACACCGCTTTTGATTTGATTTTATACGGCCGCTCCTGAGTTGAATGAATTTGTCTTTTAGGACCTTTTCCATTTGTATTTCTAGCACAAAACAGTCATATATTCATTTGTTTAGTTGAAAGTAAGTGGTACAAGAGGTGCACCGGATTTGGAATTTTCAGGTCCGGCCGGAACCGGATTTACCGGATTTGGACAAAAATTTGTCGGATTTGAGATAAACCGGTAATGGGGACAATTGGGGATAAATTGTGATAATTCAGTATTCAAAATGGCGGTTTATGTTTTTTACTATTTTTAGGGACCGATCGTTTATTACGTCTCAGGGGGGGCGGTGGTTTTTGAGGGGGGGTTAATTTTTTAAATATGGCTATTTTGGGGGGGTAGTTTTTTGTTTCCCGAAAGGAAAAGAGGGGGGGGGGGTTAAATTTTGAAATTGCAAACGATTCTTACATATTAAAATGACTTTATTTGGTTTATGAGATGAAATTCAAAATATATCTACCATTTTGAATTTGAAAAAAAGAAAAACAAATACAAACTAATCAAGCAAGATTACGCCATTGTGTGCAACTTTTGCATAGAGAAGACTGGAATCTAGTTCTTAGCATTCAACTCTTTATAGTTGAAAGTTT